ATAATTTAAGATATCGTTTTTTTTTATTGCATTACACAACTTTTCTAATTTATGATACTCATTAAGAGTATCTAAAACGCTGTAATAATGAAAATGTAAAGTATTCTATTTAACGTTGACTCCTAATTGTATACAATGCTATTTTTAATAGAGTCATTAGTATCACCTGATTATACATGTACATGTAGCGGTAGTATCCGAATTTTGAAACTTAATCGAATACAATAGCGATAATGATAGATTTTTTATAATTTAAGATATCGTTTTTTTTTATTGCATTACACAACTTTTCTAATTTATGATACTCATTAAGAGTATCTAAAACGCTGTAATAATGAAAATGTAAAGTATTCTATTTAACGTTAACTCCTAATTGTATACAATGCTATTTTTAATAGAGTCATTAGTATCTCCTGACGCTGTTGCTTTCAAGTACAACTCGAATGGTCGAGCCAAACCGCAATAATTGGCGGAATCGATATTCCAATGATGACTAAAATTCAAAAGGCTATTTCGTTCATGGTACTTAATAAATTATGTTTTATATTTAATGCTCAATGGAGATTGTGCATTAAGATCTCCTAACTCAAAATACCACTCGAATGCTTTTTATTCATTTTTGATTGTTCCTATTGAATTTTTATATAACGATTCGTAGCGCAAATAATATGTAATTGATTCGTTTAATTATTAATAACAATTTATCAAAGATCAACTTACTTGACTCTCTTAAGTTAATGATAAAATATAAATCATCCTTCTTCCATTAATATTGTGCGATAAGGAAAGATTCAATTATAACGTACATTACTTTATTAGAAAGCTGAAATCTCAAACTTTCAAATAAAATAAAAAAATCGATGTCAAATCCAACCAATACTTGTCAAAATTGTGAACTTACAGATTTTGAGCGTGGTGAGATCATTGGCGCTTGGAAGTGTGGTTTGTCTGAAAAAAAGATTGGAAATACGCTAGGCCAAATCTACTGTTCATACCATTATTAATAAATACAAAGAGTTTGGCCAAACTACAGTTGTCGCACGGAGCGGTAGACCACAAAAATTAGATGATAGAGCTATTCGAAGATTAATTAATATTGTTAAAGATGATCGACAACAAGCAGTCGACAAAATTACCAAAAAATTCAATACTGTAACTGTTAGTTCCAGTACTATACGACGTACTCTTCATGAATATGGGTTTTATGGTCAGGCTGGAGTTAGAAAACCTTTTGTATCTGAGAAAAACCGTCAAAAGCGATTAAAATGGTACTTAGAAAGAAAAGATTGGATTAGTGAATGGGAATTAGTAATTTGGAGTGATGAATCAAGATACCTAATATTCCGAAATGATT